GGCAGCCTCCATCCATAGAGAACACATCTATGTGTGCAGCCCCATGCTGAACATTTCCCAAAGCACTTTCCATTCACTCTTATTTAAACCTCACAGCAGCACTATGATTGTCCTCATTTTACCAATGAAGAAACTGAGGTTCATAGAGGTCATCCAGTAGTAAGTGAAGAATCTGGGTTTGAAGCTCCAGCCTGTCTGACTCCAAAGCTCATTTCTTATCCATGACATAAAATCCATATTCTTATTTCCTTGTCCAATGTCAGGTGTCCCTTATCCCTGGGGAGTGGCTATTTTTGCTAGCCTTGGAGCACACCCAGCTACGGAGTCTGGTTGGGTCTGGAAGACCTGCTTGTCTCTTGGGAGTATAGAGGCATCAGGAGTCCTGTTGATCCTTGGGAAAGATCTGGCACCAAACCAGCAGAGCCTCAGCTTGGGTTGCTCACCAAACTGTCTTTGGCACAAGGCATCTTCACCAAGTAGCTTGCACCTGTACAAAGCAGGGTTTCAACCTTCAGGGATCACTGACTAAATGCTGACTTGGGAGCTTGCAGGCTTGGCTTTGTGTTCCCCTCACCCTGAATTCTCACTGTACTCTGGGATGACCAGGGGAAAACAGTGAGACATAGAAAATAGCATCCCTCATGTAAGCCGGAATACTCTATCTTGCCTCAGTCAAGAGGTTGGCTGGTACTCAAACTCAAAACTTGTATGCCCAACTCAATCTCAGCCTGATCTGCTGTTGGATCCAGAGATTTGGGTGATTAGGGGCATGCCTGTTCATAATTATTTCTCCAGGAGCAGTTCCATGCCCCTAGACCCATCTCGCAAAGACACTTCAGAGGTCATATGAATAAAAAGAGAAGACGGGTCTGAAACTATCAGGCCAGGTGAACAGCAGAGGGCACATGACTGAACCAGTAATATGTGCGAAGCACTTACTGTGGCCAGGCACCCGCCAAGCACTCTACAAATATTAACCCATTTAACCCCTCACCCCCAATAGCCCTGTTGTTGTTGTTGTTAGGTACCACTGAGTTGATGGTGACTCATGGTGACTCTATGTGTGCAGAAAAGAACTGTTCCATAGAGTTTTCAATGCTGTGATTTTTTGGAAGCAGATCAACAGGACCGACTTCTGAGGTGCCCCTGGGTAGGTATGAACTGCCAACCTTTTGGTTAGTAGT